TACTTTTAAAAATACATTTCTCAAAAAAAAGGGATGTTTCACACTATTATTCTGTTTTAAGCAAGAAAGCAAACACCTTAGTTCAGTCTCTTTTTCAAAATCAAATTATTGAAACAGCAAAGTTATTGATGGATGTGTATCCAAATACCACCTTTAAAAGATCACATTTGGATATATATGCACATCAGTTCAACCAGTTTATATTTCACATTTATCTTGACCATGAATGCCAAGCTTGTAACTCASTTTACTGATGAAGTTAAGTAGACATGTACCATTGATCAGTATGTTTTAGCATTTTCTGACACTATTTCTTATGATTTTGATTTTTCTTTGTTTTTACTCTGTAAGTTATAGCTTGTTATAGCTTACATTTGCAATAGCATGAGCAGCATCAAAAGAAGAGGGGATCTGCCTTGTTAAACTTTTAAACCAAAAAAAACCAACAGTATTCAACAACAGTATTCAAGTGTCTTGGCTGATATCTGATATAAGACTCAGTTGAGTTTGCATTACAGAAGAAAAAAGGATGAAAGAGGAAATGAGCATAAAGTAGAAAAAAGTCATAAAAATAGTACTAATTCCTATACATCAGGCTTGTCAGATTGTCTTCTGGTTTTGCCATAGATCATTTTTCTTAAGTCAAATGGAAGCATAAAAATGAACTATTAAAAAAAAAAAAAAAGCATAATAACAACCTTATTTTCTGGTAACTTTTTTGAATAGACGTTTCAAATTTATTTTGTGAGATGGTAAGTAAAAAAAGGCAGACCGCTCTTTTTAAAGGACAAAATACATATGAAAACCATCCGTCTTCAAATTCCCTTTAAAAATTTATGAAAGAAAAAAGAAATCTGACTTTTTTTCTTTTCCATCCTGTGTCATTACAAAAACTCTAGACTATAGAGAGATTTTATTAAAAAAAATTTGTATTCAGAACAATTCCAGAATGTTGAAACAGTAACATTAATAATTAAAAAATATTAATACAAAACTAGCAACTATTTTCCAGGAAACAAACAAAATTCCTCATTTGTTTCATCCACAGCGATACACAAGATGCTTTGTTGTGGTATGTGGAAAGTATATACCCTTTACAAGTACAAAAACTAATATGTATGTTAGCATGACTGAAATGAGAACACAGACAAATATACACATAAAACATGCCACCCAACTTGAGCCTCAAACTAAATTCCTCATTCTAGTAATAATTCTTTAAAGTTATTCTTTTATTACTGGCCTGAGGCAAATTCAAGTGAGATTATGCCTCTCAGGGGAAAAGAAGCATTTTCTGAAGGAAACATACAGCTTATCTGAGTATGCTGTAAAATCTGAAGATGTTTGTCCTCTGAGTCACATTAGCACAGTCCAGAGAATTCCACAGTTTCTTCTTTAGTGCCTGCTTCACCTGCATACATGAGATTAATATCTGTTTTGTGATCCGCTTAAGTTTTCTATTACTAGATTTTAGCTGCTGTGAAATTTGGTTGTGATGGTTCTATCTCTTATTAGACAATTTTTAGCACAGTTTAGTAACTTTGATTAACTTAAAGACTTTAAAAGGTCCTTACGACTCCAGATTTTGATTTCGAACTTCATCTTTTTGACCTTTATGAGTCTCTGTGGTCCAATTCTCCTGTATCATATTGATTTATRGTTTTCTATATTCAGTGAAAATGCCTTCAGTCCTAAGTCTCTGGTCATCCATTTTCATGTATTGAGTGCACTTGAACCAGAGAGGCATCTTTAAGATATCATTGTGGTTTTTTCTCTGTGGAATATTCATATGCATTAAAAGATTTTTCTTTTTTATTTCATAAAATAAGTTGGAAATAATGGCAGGGAACTCTACTGAGTCCTGATAAAAAAGTATTCAAGTGTCTTGGCTGATATCTGCTAAAAGWCAGGCAAATCAAGGAAACAACTGATGAGAAACATGCAAAAAGSCAAACACAGCTGCCTGCTGCTGTGGAGCCTAGGAGCAACACAATTAAACTAAAAGGGAGAAAAACTGTTCATTAAAAATTATGTGGTATAAATCATTAGGTGGACACAGACAATAGCCCTTAATATGGTAAAAGCTGCAAAATAAGGACAGTTAAATAGATTAGGATTGGCTATACTGCAGTCTCACAGCCAGGCTGCAGATTGGAAAACAGAAGAGGCAGGTTCTCCTAGGAAATTAAATCTGGTCCCCTGATACTGCTAGCAAGCACACTGTAAGACTTCATTTCTTAAGTCTTACAAAAACAGTTGTTGTTTTTCTCCCACAACTCTATTGAAAAACGTCTCTAAAAACAAATAATTGGCACAGTTGAAAGGGGTCCCAGGAAAGCATTTAGTCCATCCTATACCTCTGATAGAGCAAAAAATTAATTTCAAGATGAAATGAAGCCTAACATAGTTACTATCTTCTTAAATAATATGTTCTCCAGTACTCTACACATTTTTCTTCTCCTCAGGCCACAGACATTGAACTACCCAGCTGCAACTCATGCTGTTCAAATGCGAAAGTTTCACAGAGTTCATCCTCACTGAAGAAGGTCAACAAGAAACCTGGAGAGTTTCTTTATAGTTAAAAGCTATCATCTAATGGTTGAGAGAACCAGGCATTTTAAGCCCCTGAGTCTGCTCCCAGCTATGCCCTTAATTCACTTGGTAGGTGTTTGGGTCATGACATCTTTTATTCCAGATTATATAAAGAGTACACAGGTTAGATTACTGYCACTTCCACTGGAACCCTTCCCAAGATTATTAAGCTTCTCAAATATTCAGAAATATTCAGAAAAAAATAGATTTTTGAAATAAATTAAATTCACTAAGCATCTTGTACAACCTAAGGTGAGTGTCACTAAAACCTGTAAAGAAGGGAAAATAGTAGTAATAGGACACATTAACTTCTGTATTCAATATGGGTAAAATTCGTAATTCTACTATCTGGAAAGATACATATCTACTACAATAACACAAAAAATTGGTTGAAGCAGAAGAATATCCAATGAATAAACAAGTTTCATATTTGTGATCCTCATAAGACTCAATTAATATAAATTTAATCCATTCAACAATTACAAGCAGGCATAAAAATACTTGATTGTGCTTTCTTACATGATTGAAACAAACTCTGAGAAGAAACGAAGTKCTTTTTTCTCCAGCTACACTTAGTGACAAAGCCCTGCTATGGCTCCAAAACCTCTGAGTCAAGAGGGGTAACTCAAAGGTTCAAATTCAGTGAAACTTAAGCAGAGCACAGACTTTATACCACAGTCCTTTGCCTTGCAAGAACACCTGGGTTTATAGAGGATTTTTACACTGGATGAGTTTCCATTGGTGCCTAAGTTTTAGCAAGACAACTATGTCTTCCAAAACTTAAATGATAAATGCAACCATTTTCTACTTAATAAAAAATCCCCAGAATATTTTCATAGCTGAACTGGTGCATTCTGTGATGCAGCAGAGAATGTGCTAAGGCTGTTAATAAATTACAAACCTCAGTAATATTGATCTCAAATCAGTTATARCAAGAAATCTTTACAATAAAGGCTTTCCTACTTTCCTCACAGAGATTTCCAAGGAAATTAGAGCTACATATTTTTGATTTAAGACCATGGGARGATTCTCTGCAAAATAAAATACTGCTATATTTCACAACCATTATTATGGGATAAATAGGAATGAGTAAGACAAAAAACCTTCATATTGTGCTCTTTTCAGTGCTAGTCAGGAAGGTTTGACAACAGATCTAGACCATATATCTGCCTTTTTGGTGTACCATCAGAGGGAGACAAATGTTTTGGAAAAATTGATACAAGTTATTAGGTTAATTCCTAAAGTTCAAGTGAAATAAAAGAACAAGCCTGTTGAATGTTTTTAATCTACTCAAAATGCCATTTTATCACCAGAATAAATTTTAAAAAGAGAATAAATCCTGGGAAAATTTACAAAATCTTCAAATTAAAACAGGGTAATAAGTTATCCTTTCTTTAGTATTGAATGACTGCCAGTCTAACAAACAGACCACAGATTATGACACCCCTCCGAATTAACCCTCTCTGAAATTAGGGCACATAAAAATTGGTTTAATTTTGAAATGAAAACAATTTTTTTCTACCTCTTTCTCTACCACCTATATTTGTTCAGATACAAGAAAAATCCCCTACATGWTTTCCCATATGTTTCCCTTAATTAAATGGATCCATAAAGCATTTCTGTTTATTCAAATAATGCCACTGTGGCTTCAAAGCCTGACAGCTGCTGCTGTGCTAAGACCACTAYTGCTATCCAATCTTACCTCAGCACTTTCCTGGTGCTTCCATGCATTCATTGATTTGCCCCTTATGTGTTCAGATGTGAAACTTAGACTTTTATCTGCTGTAGAGAAMCTGGTACTGCTGCTGGGCTCATAGCTAGGGTTTCTATGTACTCCGGTGATAAAAAATAAAAACCACCAAAAACCCGCAAGGGCACATCTACATCTGGACCAATTTTGCTTCAAGAAACTTGCATTCTAGATGAYACTGTGAAAAAGCTGTATTATATATATTTCTGACTGATAGATTGTGTGCATTTTAGCACACAAAAACAACACAGACAAAAGCAGTTGGTGACTTCTCATGTTAAGGGCAGAACCCATAGACATTCACAGATGATTTATGGGCAGAGTACCAGTCATAGGACGGGTGGGAATGGCTTCAAGTTTTACCAGAGGAGGTTTAGATTGGATATTAGGAAAAAATTCTTTCCTGAAAGGGTTGTCAAGCACAGGAGGAGACTGCCCAGAGAAGTGGTGGTGTCACCATTGTATTTAAGACACATGTGGATGTGGCACCTGGGGATGTGGTTCAATGAAGGAGTTGGCAGAGCTGGGTTAATGGTTGGACTCGATAACCTCAGTTATCGATTTTATGATTTGAATGATTTTATGGTTCTATGACATAGGSACATTCATGGCACAAGGCCATGGATACCTGCTGAGAACAAAGGTGACAATTACTCACCACGCTGCAGCCAGGACAGTCAGGGCCATTCTCACATGTCCTGCGCCGTGCCTGGATCCCTCCTCCACACTGAGCAGTGCAGCGCTCCCACGGCCCCCAGCCTGTCCAGAACACATGAGGGGGGCACAGCAAATGCTCATTGCAGTACCTGTGACAAGAGAAACAGGGAGGCAAAGATCCTATTTATTATCGAGACAAGACCTCCCCCAAACCCTGCCTCATCTCCATAATTCAGACAGGGAAATATTTTATATGAAGCACCTCTCCCTACTCATTAAGCACTGAACTAACAGTTGTCACACTGCACAGAGCATCTAAGCATTTGAGTGTGTTATTTTTTTTTTTTTAGGTTGCAATTGCATGGCTGCAGCATTTGTGTGCTTTATTTAGTGACTTTATACAATCCATGCAATGCAACCATGTGATTGTACAGTGATCAYGTAAACGTGATTGAAAACCATTTTATTAAAACCAGTTGTGGCAATCCCTCTTGGGCAGTGAACCAAACAGGAGGCAAGCATTCATGCAGGCACTCTGTTATCAGTCTCCAGCTAAGCATTGATTAGGATCCATCTCTCTCTTCAGATAACTACACTTGCTGTTTGCTTTTCACAGCATCTCTGCTACTATGGGCAAAAACAAGCTAAAACACAGACTATAGGCATAAAGAACTGTACTTTTTAATAATGTTATTACTTTATATTTTAAAGGGTGGTTTTAGCTGTTTTAATCTTTGAAGCTTTTCCCAGCAGGCTGCARACTGATTCAGAGGCTTAGCAGGTTCTTGAAGGAAGCACTATCGAGTTGTCATTATTGTACTAAAACATTCAGACACATGGGGAGGGCCCAGCTTCAGCTGAGTTTTTTTGATTTTTCAAGAAACCGAAGATTCCTGATTTTTTGATTGGCCCTCCAATAATTCAGCACATGCTGCTTTTTAAAGAACCTCTACACAGGTCCAAAGGATGTGAGACACCAAGCATGACTAGGGCTTTCTAGGAGACCARGCTGTTAGTCAGATAAAGCAAAGACACTGCATAATCAGAAAACAGACTTGTTCCAATACCAACTGTCCTGAATGAACAAATCAATCCGCTACAGCATTTCCTCAATTTTTACACCTTTTATCCAAAATCCAATGTCTTCTTGCCCTTCTAACAAATTTCCATCTCTCTGCACTCTTCTACAGTGAAAACTGACTCTAATACTCCAGTTATTMATTTTCCACAAAAAGGGAAATGACAATATGGGCAGTTGTCATTTTCAACAAGAATAACCACAAAATTTTTTTTTGTTGTTCTCAGAAAGCCCCAATATCTGCAGGCTCTAAATCTTCAAAATCATGGAATTTGAAAATTTGGAACACTGTGGAAAAAAAAAAAAAAAAAAAAAAAAAAAAAAAAAAAAAAAAAAAAAAAAAAAAAAAAAAAAAAAAGTGGGTTGTGTAAGTAACATACAAAAGTAGATTAATCGCATATGCTGGAGCGTAAAATTCAAAGTTTGTCCCTAGGTCTGGGCTACTCCATCAAAATTTAAAGATTTGGAGTGGGGTTAATAGGRGAGTAACATTTAGTTTTCTGCTTCTGTATAGTTAAGAAAATTATTCACACCTTGTATTGACCTTTCCTCAGGAAAYTGAGGAAAAAAATGTCCAAACCCTCAATATTTATGAATCTGGTGACTGAGAATTCTTCAGTGCGTGATTTGGGTATGCACATTACAGTTCGCATTATGCTATCATTAAAGATACATAGGAATGTTCTGTGCCTGGATATTCTCCCCCTAAAACTCCAAGTGCACACATTCTTTGCCACATGCAGTCATTTATGTGAATGCGTGTGATAATTTCTCCCTGTGATCATTTGTTGAGCATGTGTATTCAATAAAACATAGATGTAACATCMGCATTTATTTAGTCAAATTAGTACACATTTTGCATAATTTCAGTTCTTAACGAAGATGTGCTGATTTGGGACACACAGAGAGGCTAAAGCAAATCTGCCATGAAGCTGAGAATTACTGATATTCAGCCATGCAAAAGGTAAAATTAAGGAACTTGTCTTGCCTTAAAATAAAGCCATGTACAGTATAGCTGCCTAAAAATGAAGTCATTTTAATTTGAGAAACAGCTCATGGAAAGAAACAGCCCTGTTGAAAATATGATTTATGTCACCCTAATGCAAAAGTTATATAAATACACTCCTCAATGTACAGATTGATTTTCATTGACTGTTAATGCCACATGGGGGACTGATATCTAAGCAGCCATCACAGCCCATGGAGACTTTGTCAATACAAACTAGGGGRACCAGAAYGATTGACTTGAAGAAATTAAGGAAYACRGCAGAAGGACACAAATTACTGTTCTCCACAGTCTGCATTGCCTAAATATCTACAGACCACAGTGGAAGTTCAGACACCCGGGTCACACATAAACATTCACACTCGTGGACATCWGGAGTTGGGTACAACAGATCTCACTTCGAGGACAGCCATGCCACCATGCAGTGGCTCTTTCACTGTCAATGTGCCCAACCTCCCACTCTCTCACTGAGGCAGGAGACAGAAAAGAGACCTAATAACTGACACAGTAGGCACTTCAAAGGGCTGGCAATTCTGTTTTCCAACACTAATTAAAGATGCAGCTGAAAAAAAGCCCCAAAATCTCCATGCAAACCACTTCAATTTGGGAAACTGTTTTTTTTAAAAAAGTCAACACTAGAATAATAAATTTTTCCCTTTCTTTTCCAGGAAAACAAAACAAAAAAGAAAACAAACAAAGACCCAATGCAGCATAAAGCAGAATCTTATTTTCATTTCAGCCATCCAGCCTCTGAAAACATCAGGTATGTTTTCACAGCTAGAGACATCCCTGCAATTGATGTTTGAGAGCTGTGCTACAGCATGGGGCTTTGAGCCAAGTTTCATTATATCTGTTCTTGGCTGCATTTCAAGTCACTCAGCAACCCTTTTTCCCTTTTGCTCTTTCTTCCCCTCTTAATTTTGTTCTCAGGACCCACAGGGCTAACGTTTTACAGTAATTCAACAAAACATGCAATGCAAGAAACTTGAATCTGTGAAACCACTGCCCTCTCCCCTAACCYAACTGCAATGAGGTCAGAATGGAGAACAGCCTAGAGAAATGTGGGTTTTGTACACTGACCCTTCACATTTCCCTTGAAGTGAACCCAAGTTCAAATGCCCTAATAAAGGAATTGCCATACTGGGGGAAGGGTGRACATCCTCTGTCCAGTTATGTCCACAGCTATTAGTGCCTACAGCAAATTTTACACCTACAATTTCAGTACAACTGGCATTACTGTTCTCCTTTTATAAAGATCTCAACTGTTAGTAAGGCACCAATTTATTCAATTTATTTCAGTGTYGCTATCCAGCACTGAGTACTACAGGCTAACTCCATGACAGTTACAAATATGCCTTTTTTATTCCACAGAGATGTTACTTAAACAAACATTTCTTAAAGTTGAACTATATTATCCTACCATGTGTTTCAGAAAAACAAACCCACCTTCATCCCTGCTTGCGCATTCCCATGCAATATACTGTTCTGTGCTGGGCAGTTGTGATCACCAGCTGGTGACTTCCTGGGATGCACAGACTATACTGAGTCTGAAGGGAATGCCACATTCCTTTATTGAAGGCAGATACATGACATGCACATGCCCTGCTGGATTGAGATCATTAAATTGACAGAAATACCCATCCAAGAGACTGTGGAATGTGGCAAGGGCTGAGGCACGTTGTCCCAGGGGCTTCTGCAGGAGAGGAGGGAGCAAGGAGGATGGGAACAGACACTTCCCAGCAGACAAGACATCCATGGGAGCACAAGCAAGCCTAAAGCCTTGTGGTGTTTAATCTGCTCAGCTGGACTGGGCTTGTTCACATTGCTCAGAACCCAGCAGTGCTACACAGAGCACGCACTTGACTCTCAGCAATTCCTCTTTCTCATGGAAAAAAGCCCAAAAGCTGAATGTTTGCTGAGAACTGTGTACAAAATAATGTGATAATGGGTACTGAGTCTAATAATTTTATACACCCCAAAATATTCAAGACTTTCAGACATTTACTCCTTGTCTGCAGCCAATTTACTTTTCTAATTGCCATGGTTTTTTTTTTCTTTCTAGTCTTTCCTGTGTAATAAAAGATAAGTGCATCCACTGAAAGGAAGGGATTCTCACTTTAATGTCCCTCGTTTCTGCACAGATAGGAGGGGAACCCGTGGATTTAATGAGGCCATGTCTACAGCATCTTTCACAGAAAGGACAAACATTCTCACTCCATGATAATATCAAGACAGGATACTACAGACCCTATAAACTAAGATCTAGAGAATTTCCAGCAGCTTCAGTGAATATTTCTTATACTGGAAAAATCAGAGAAATAACCCCCAAGGAATTCATCAGGATGCCTTCCATCTGGAATCTTAACTACAAAATTATTATCTGATTAAGAAATTTTGTTGCAATGTTATTTTTACTCCCTCTCCATATTCTGTCTAAATGCACATCAGCTGCACTTTTGACCTACTTCCACAAGGGGAATTTGCTTTGTAATATGARTATTTGTTGCTATCTCTCAACTGCTTTCTCTCCACACATGCACACACAACCCTTTAGCAGCAGAGCATGAAACAGTTTAACCTATCTGCAACACTTTAAATTGGCAAATATTGCCATTGATTTCAAGGAAATGGCCAGCAAGCACAGAGCTGCCTGATACAGCAGGCATGTAGGATCCTGGCTTTCATGAGGTAAAGCAAATATAACCTAGACAAACATTATGCTCTTAATATATGAACAAACACTCTCAAGCTGAATATGCATCCACATCTGCAGGTAAATTTACCTCAGATATACACTGCCTTTTCTGTGTTTGCTTTSTATGGAGTTATGTACTGGATTTCTACTGAAATCATTGTTTGTTGGAAAGCTGTTTTAAAGTTTGGCACGTAGTTGGCTGTGGAAATGGAATTCTCTATTTATACCCCTGAACATGTGAAGGTGATTAGAGTATGCATGTTTACAAAGGCAAAATGCACACAATGTGTAAACCATTTGAAATTTTTACTGATACTAAACATATATTCATTTTACATATGAGCTGGGCCATTAAAAAAGTAAACTGTCAGGCTATTTATAAACAACAGTTGATTTAAATGAGAAAATCTGAGAAGTTGCTTTTTGGCACTTTGGATACAAAACCAGAAGATGTTTTTTAGGAGTCACTGCACATGTAATATGTGTTCAGCCTGCCTAAATGTACTGGGCTCAAAGGAACTGTTTCCATTTGGTGCAGATGAAACTCCAAAGAGAGTGAAACAGTTAATTAAGACTAGGGAAAACTGCCCTCATAGCTCAAAATTCTCTACAAGCTAGMAGAGCCATGAGGACACTCATAAAACTCTAATGGCCCCTTCCAGCTTCACCTGGGACCTCCATCCTCCATCCCAGAGTCAAGGAGCTCTATTTAACCTGATCACAACCCTGGCCTCTGGTTTGGCTTCCTACCTGGACTCCAGACCTCTCTCAYTGCCAGGACATCACCTAGGTTCTAGACTCTTGGTTGGATCTGRTCACAATCTCCAGGCTTGCCCTGCTCCCCTGCTGTGGGTGATGGGATCAGCCCTGCCTGGCAAATGTCCCAGGACTCTCTGCTTTTTACAGCTCTGAAAAGATTTATCCAAGTACTTGGCTTAACACTGACAAAAATCCTGGCAAATAACTGATGCCTCATTCCTCTAGCTGCTTTAGAAATTATTTAACGAAATTTCCTAGCTTAACACACCCTCTGGAAAAAAAAAAAAAAAACCAAAAAAAACCCCAAGTACTTAAAAAAGTAATTAAAAGTATCAGGGCATAACATGGATAACATAAAACCAGGGTAGAGGCAGGAAGGTCAGCTGTGAGCAAGCTGTGAGCGAGAGGAAGGTGCAGGGCCTCTGGGAGTGAAGGGTCTTTCAGTGAAGACAGGAAACACTGACAGAAGAAGTCTGAGAGAAAAAGGCATCCTGAAGTAAACTCACAGGCACATTCATCCCAGATTGCTGCTGAACTGGACAAAGAGAGAAAGGACAAATAACCTGCAAGCTACAAAAGCAAAGCAACATAAGCTTATTGCTCCTTCAGAACTGTTASACATCAAAATTCAATCCTTCTGGGCTGCTATTATTTCAACTCATCATAAGTAACTTTCCATTTGCAATTGCTGTTACATTGCACCCATTGTCTTAATGCTCCTATAATTGAAAAAGTATTTCTCATGGTTTTCTTTATTTCTGTGAAACTTCTTATCAGACTTTTATTCCATGTTAAACTAAAATGAACAATGACTATTACCATCCATAGTACATCACCAAAAAGTCTKTCTAAACCACACTATTATTTTTCTGTATTTAGTGTCCTGCCCTGGACTGTCCTCTCAGGAAAATCAATAGCTKTTATTCATGCTGGGGCAAGTAACAGCAGATACGATCTATGCTTGYTGGTGATGGCTTTTTGGTTGGGCAACCTATTTGCAGAAAGCAATTTACAAAATAACGAAATCAGCTCCTCTGCAATGAAACGGTAAATATTCATGGCCTTGAAACAGTGAGAAATGTTCACAAGTTCTGTGRTACTGATCCTTTACATTTAAGAGTTAGAAAGACCAGGTCCCTGGTGATCCGTTAATACATAAATGTGTGATGCAACCTTGCTTCGATGAATCCTTTAAAATGCCAGAGCTGGTGTTTAATTAAATGCCTCACCGAAACTCTTCATAAAGGTTACTGAATTTAGTTTTTACATCCAACAGCAATATAGGACACTACATCATCCATACAGAAACACTTAGGTAAGCTGTAAGTGCATTTTGGGAGGAAAGGTACCAGCATACATCTCTTGGAATGGCTACAGAACTCCAAATTCTCACACCAATGCTAGTCTTCTACTATCTGGCTTTCTGCTATGCCTCTGGAAACAACATAATGTATACCAGAGCTGCAGCTTATCTGAATATTTTCTAGCTTGATTTAAAAAAAATATTTAATTCCTGTTAAAACTGAAAACTTCAATTAAAAATTAGAGTTGTATGTAGGGTCCATGTAAATTTGAGATGCAATTAGGGTCCATGCCAAATAGAATGAAAAGCTTGAACTTGACATTCTGAGCTCGTGACAAAACACTTAGCCTGGTGCCAAAGCAGTACATAGTGAAATCAAAATCTGAGCTAATTTGATCTGCTCAGGGGTTAAAACACATATTCAAACAATTTTTTAAAAAAGCACCAAGCTCGAAACCTTACTAAAGATATTTGAGTTCAAGGTGTATTATATTTATTGAATAGAAAACAAAGCCCTTGAAACTTCCTTCCATGTTATAGAAATGCTTAATTCATTTATGACAGAAGAAATGAACTCACAGCATCAGTAACATAGYGCTGTGACCTTATTACATTTTGCTCTGAATTCCAGGTCTTGAGGCTGGGCGAGTTACAATTCAAACACAGTGCAATCAATTTTCAAGGAGAATCAATTTTTCTGGGTCTCAAGGGAGAGCAGCACGTTGCTTCAGCACAATTCTCTGGCACTGCCGGGAGCTCTCAGGTGGCTCAGGAAGGATGAAGCTGGGCAAAATGATCTGCTGCAGAACCACAGCCTTTTTAATGGGAATACTGTACTGTACAACAGCRAAGTTAGAGTGAAAGGAAAGGGAAGAGAAAAGCAAGGCAAATAAAGGAGAAAATGTCCTGTGGAATACAAATGTGCCGAAGAAATTAAAAGAGACAATCGGAAAAACACAACTCACCTCTCCTCACGATTCTGCCCCACACAGACACGTCCTCCATGTCGAGGGGTTGGATTGCTGCAGGAACGCTGACGAACTTGAAAGCCTATTCCACAAGTGGTACTGCAAGGTGACCAAGAAGTCCATGGTGTCCAGCCTCCATTTCTGGTAGAATAAAAAGCTCAGGCTCTGTCATCTGTTATACATAGCGAATGGCTGATTAGGTGTGACTGACAGCRGAATCTGACCTATTAATATTTCTGTAGAAGTCATTAATACTGCATCGTGTTCCATTTCTGCAAGAATACTGAAACCAAAATAAAGGTACTCTGATATTCCATATTCCATGCTTTGTATTCAGCAACTGGCAAAATCCTCATTACATGAGAATTACAAAGCTATGAAGATATTTTGTTGGTTTTGGTCACTTTGTTCTGGGTAAAGTACATATTCAAACTCCTGTATCAATGTTCTGAAGCTAACTTTTAATTACATATCATTTTCAGGGGGATTAAAAGGTCAAATTTTGCTACCTTGTCTGAAAGGAAAGTGATTAAAGCCTAGAGGACAAGGAGGCTCAGAGGACACCATATTGTTCTCTACAACTACCTGAAAGGAGATTGTAATGAGGTAGGGGTGGGCTCCTTCTCCCAGGAGTTGACCTCTTGGTTTTAACAAGTGACAGAATGAGAGGAAAYRGCCTRATGTTGTTTTATAATGTTCCATTATAAAAGCAAAAGTTAAAATAGTGCCTTACTATTATGGCAGTGTTAACAGAAATAAGATGTTAAAACAGTAGTGTAATAATGCCAAAGGTAGAATGTGAATCCAGTCCCAAATCATGTTCCAAACTCCATTCTAAACCCGACAGCTGTTTGATTTTTCAGTACCTCACMGCATGCTTCTCTATTTTCTGTCATTCTTCTGACCAAATGTTATATAATACATTATTATCATTTTAATATCTTTTCCAAAAATTTACTATTTTCACTTACAGAGCTTGCAGTTACTTTGCGCAGAAATGTAACTAGTTTTGTTCACTATCATGATGTGACTGATGTAAAAAAGCAGAAAGAATCACTGCAAATAAGCAGAATGCACAAGTATATGTTTCATCTTGCAACTGAAGTGTGTATAATGTATGTGTATAATATTTTAAGCATGAACTTCTGATGCAGTTCCAAATATGTAGTGATCGGGTTCTCTTTGAAATGACCTCACTGCTCTCACTGGTTTTCTCTGGGAGTGGTTAAATGCTTGAAGAAGACAAAAGAGTGGCTAAAGAGCCCTATACAGACTAGGAACAGATATGCTATCGCGATACGCCTGACAGATACAATGAAAGTATTTTTCAGGGCAGAATGGGAGACTACCATGATAATATGAGACCTCCATAATGGTAAGCCATTCTGACTCCCGAAAAAAAAAAAAAGCTGTATGATTTACAGAAATGAGAAAAAGTGTCATACTTTGGATATTATCTAATACTGATTTTTTTTTTTTTCTTTCAGAGCTTTTGTTAAAATTAGCTGAGGACAACTGTTTTTGGTACACAGCATTGAAATGACTATTTGCCTCTGACTCATTCTCTCTCTTCCAAAGTCCAAGAGAAACTTTCAAATATTTCATTTGCCCTTTCATGCACAAACAGGATCAGTAGAATTCAGGCAAGATTTCAAAGGGTAGGTTTTATTCTGATTAAGTTAAAAACTTTTAAGCCACCAGTGATAGAACCTGAAATTGTCTTGCATACCTGGAACAGTTGGCAATCTCCATGGTTGGTCCTTCACAGAGCCACCCTCCACACTGGGGAGCAGGACTGTCACACACACGTGTCCTGCAGAGGCAGGAGCCAACGCTGGCACCGTCAGTGTGAGTGCAAGGTTTCCACTGTGACCACGTTCCAAARTGTCCATCCACTGTCAGATTCCTCATCTAGAAAAAACACAACAGGAAAGTTTACCTGAGGCTTGACAATTCCTTCATACAACCTCTCTATTCTGAAAGTTTGGTCTTCAGCCACCAACAACAAAAACCTCCACTGGAGAGATACATCTTCCACACAGCAAYCTCACTTTATTATTTCTGTAGCTGCATAATTTCCACAACTTCCAACCAATCTGAGCCACTGGATGCCACCACTATAGCARTAACAGTAATCACAGCTAACTGTTAGTTTTCAAAACTATGCTTGCCTACTTCTCAATTTTCTTCTGATGACAATATTCCCTACTTCCCAAAATTTTCCCRTGAAAATGGAATGTGGATACTGACTGTAAAACCCAAGGCCAAAATGAACAGCTAACAGATGGTAAGAAAGAAAGTAAGAAGAAATTCTCTATGAGGATAGTGAGACACTTGAAGAGGTTTCCCATGAGAAACTGTGGAGATCTCATGTGTGGAAGCGTTCAAGGCCAGGTTGGACGGAACTTTGCGCAACATGGACTGGTGGAAAGTGTCCTTGCCCTTTGCAGGGGGGTTCAAACTAGATGGGTCTTTCAGTTTCCTTCCAGTGAAACCTTTCTTTGATTCTATGATGCCTTAATAGTCCAGGGTAATAAAACTGAATCAATTAAATTCAAATCTCCATGATGAGTGTCTTCTTTTGAAAAAAAATTCTTGAAGCATAGACCATATAGTACCATTTCATAAGAATGAAATATGGCTTTAAATATGACAGTCTCTAAACATCATGCAATCCTATTTGTAAATCCTATAAACATGTCCAAAAAGCAGCACCTAACCCTGCATAATGAGAGAGTTTACTCTCGCAGAATTCAATTCTCAACACCTTTGGCTGGAAAGGTCAGACTATTCTCATCTAGACTGSAATGTTTCCATCAGGCAGATGAAACACATTTAATAAGAAATCTTCATTGTCCAGATGAAACAAAATGAGCTAATGGAAACTGCTGCAGCCTCCATGACTACTGAAATTCCTAAAGAAAATGGGGTAGGACATGAGGAATTCAGCTCCCAACAAAGGCAGACATGAATATTATTCTTTTAGCAAGGTGCTAACTTTGACAAACCTGTGATCCTAAATTGAAATGATGCCCACATTTTATTTAAATGTTAGGGGTTTTGCCTTTTGTTTCCCAAATTTGAACCTTCAGTCAACAGTACCAACAAGTTCAGGCTAAGCAACATTTAAATGCTGCTTTAATTTAATCTTACTCTTAGTAAGATTAAATATGTTGAGATTAGTTATAGTCATGCATTTTTCATCAAATACAAAAGAACATAACACTTCAATATTTTCTTATATATTGAAACAGCAATTACAGTTGTAGATTGCCATAAATGATCTAAAATGGTATCTCCCTTTACTATTTTTAGTCTTTTAACAATGGTGAGAGAAGGACAAATTTCAGAAACACTTTGAAGATACAAGAGATTCGATCACAACATAAGGCATATTTCCACTGACATTCTGGATGTTGGCTGATTCTTTCCACTGTGCYGAAGATACCACAATTTCACTACTAATTACAATTCCCACAATTTATTTTTCACAGATATTGTTTGTCCAAGAACAGCTCTGTGTAAGCTATGTCAGCTACAACCGATGTAACCACAATTCATCATTTCAGAAACTGCTGACAGCTGTTTATTAACAATAACTCACCAACCTTCGCTCATGTAGATTTTACACTGTTGGGTTTCGTAAGACAACAAGAAATACTTCTTTTTAAGTGACAAGTAAACTCATTCCCTCTTACACTGCTGGTCTAACAAATATTTATAGTCCATAAACTAACAATTCTGTGCTCCCAATCTAATTAATGTCAGAGTTGTGAAAATACCTTTACTGCTTTCTACTTCTGCACATCAACATCTTTATTGTTGCACCTACAACCTTATAAACTAAAGCTACAGTTTTCTATAGTCACCATAATATATATGGTGGCAAAGAAAGTATACATAAGACTATTGATGACATATTCTCTTCATTTTTTTTCTTTGCTCTTGCAAAGATCATMYCACTGCTGTCTCTTSTTCCCCATGACTCACCTGCTCTGTYTGTGAATAWCTCCCTTTCAGAAGTGATATCAAACAATTTCATYACACAACTGCAGGAAAGCAAAATGTATCAATGAGGGGTCTCTGTAGCCCTCAGCAGAACCCACACCCATTAACCTTTCCCAGTCTGACACCTCAAGGACAAAATCACAGTCAGTCAGACCATATGGCTGCACTATTCTGGCATGGCTAGATTCTGCTTTCCCTCTCTAACACACTGGTTTTGTCACCCTTTTCCCTTCTGCGGATACTTTGAGGTCTTTCTTCCCTCCTKATCTCCTCCAAACACCCATCTCTGTCTCAAGTCTGTCTGCACCCACCTCATCTTCCTGCTTTGTGCCTCTACACTCTGAGTAAAGGTCACATCTTCAGTGACTCAGATTTTAACTCTGTAATGAGATCTTTGGTTTAACTCTGTCATGAGATTACTTTTTGAAGAATTTGGTAAGTTTGTAGAGTTTCCTGAAGTTGCTAAAGAATTCAGAGCCCATATGACACTTTCTTTGAGAAAAACTGTAAAAATAAAGCCATTTCATGTTGCATACTTCTGTTTAAAAAAACAAACAAAACAGCAAGCAAACAAACAAAACAAAAAAAAACCCAAAACAAACAAA